ACGAATAATCGAGATATGGACAATTGGTTTGAAATTATAGTCACCCTAAGTTTTCATTTGCGTTTGTATTTGAATATTACGTTTTAGGTAAAGGCTTTCCTTCTTTTTCCCACATCCTTCAGAACCTATTCTTTTATCTTCCCCAGTCATTTTTCTCCCGTGTCCCTTCTCTTTGTCCAGGACTCCTCCTTTCTCGCTCTTTCTCATTCCAACATGGCCTCTTTTCAACGTCAGACCGTCGATTGGCCGCAATTCAGTGTCGCGTCGTTGCACACAGTTTGCGGCGGTGAACGTCAATTGCATTGCTCCGCATATTTCATTTCAGGCTGGTCCACGACCTATCAATCGCTTAAAGGGATTCTAACGATAATCTTCAGAGGAAAAAACTGCCAAGTGGTCTTTCAAGAGGGAACAATTTTCTGCAGTTTCACACATCTTGTTGCTCATGTTGAGAAATTGTTCATTGAACATTATACTCTTCATACAAAACAATGTTCAACTACTTCGTATAAATTTTTTCAAAGTTTCCTATGGACAAAATTGTAACGTATAGTTGGGGCCACGATATAGCGAGGTTGTAAATTAAACTCTCAAGAATCGGCACCGATTGATGTTGCGGCACTCAAGGCCGTGTGTTGCAGTCTGTTTGAGGGTTCCAACAATAAACGAATGGTAGCATATGATTTGGTACTTCAAGTAGAAAATGGTATTTCATTTACAAATGGAAAATATGTTAATATTAAAGCTACACAATCTGTTTGCATTTTCTATCGGTATATAACACGAGTAGATAAACTAAGATGCTAAAGACATCAATAAGACCTTTACCTGTAACCGTACTTCCAAAAGCGGCTTCCCCCAGAGGGAGAAACCTTAATTTGTCCTAGCTGCATGCAGTTTTCAGTAAATATATTAGAATCAGTTGACTTTCGCTGGATACAAGAATTCTTCGTGCGGTCCTGACAATGGTTTCAAGTACTTATCTGCTCGTATCTCTGTCAATTTTCGGGTCCTGGCGGCTAAAACATGTTTACTTTGAGTAATTTTCAAATTTACGACCTCGCTATATCGTGGCCCCGACTATATCTACTCTGTGCTTGAAATCATTTTTCTACGGGATATACTCAAAAATATTGTGTATTGAAGTTGACGAATGTTTTCAAGCAATAAGGTAATTAAAAGTTAACGTAAGGAATTATATGAGAAAGAAATGAAATATTGGACGAGGATATGAATAGTTCATTAATGTGAAAGTAAAAACCACGTGAAATATACTTTAGTTCGAGTGTAGAAATTTAATTATAATTTTCTACGTTTTTCTATATGTTAAAACAACGCCGTTAAAATTCACGATAATATGAATAGTAGTATTTTCATGCAATAAACTCGATCCCCAGAATAATTGAGACTGATTCAGCATCCGTCGGACAAGATCCCTCCATCAAGTACCTTCTTATAATCCTGGACAGGTTTTCAGATCAGTCACGGGTTCCAACTTCTTAACAAGAGTTCGCAAACCAAGATGCCTTGGTACCCCAAAATGTATCTCTTCCTTTAAAAACCTTCAGAAATGTAACAATATCTGAAACAGTCTCGCAGTTCTTTTTCAAATGAAAAATTCCACATTTGTAGTATTACTGCTAATAAAACAAACTACACTAATAATTCACATACAAACCGTAAACCTCTAATTTTAAATCACTTTTGGTCCATTCACGAATACGATTAATATCAGCTCGAAGCACTGACACTTTCCAGTTCATTTCACGTGCACATGCAGTCGCAACTGACAGATGCAACACGAGCAAAAAAAAGTATCACAGAACAAGGAGACGATTCGCGGAAAAAGCTCGAGTTTACATTTCCCAAACCGCAGTTCAAACAGATTCGCGGCTCAGAAGGCGCCGCTTTCACAGAGAGACAGAACCGCTTCCTCGTAAACGTATTTGACCAATAAATAATTTAGCAAACAAATTGATCCCCAGGGACTATAAACAGATACTTAGAGGCACGCGTTCCACTCTGCACCTATACAAGAGAATCAATTGACCGGTTTCGATGTTAGGTTAACCTATACGCTGACTGGACAATACATAACCTACTAACCATGAAACCCCTACTGTGAGAACCGAAGTGGGACCCGCGGCGTGAAATCTCTATTATCGAGGGGTTGGTATGGTACCCCGTTGTTCCATGGTGGTTGTGTGTGTATTCTGGCCGGACTGGTACTGACAGTGTGGTACCCCTCGCCTCCTTCGAAATAATGTAATCGCGAATTAAATGTTTGCTCGGATATCAACGATCTCCCGGCATTTCTTCTACGCAGAAAGAAACAAGATACTCTTCCCTTCGACGTAATTGGCTCACTTGCAGATGGACCGGATGTTTTTATAAGTTTAGCAGTAGAAGAGTTGACTAAGGTAGTACAATTGAGTAATAGAAAATTATTGTAACGCGTATGATAACATTTTCTTTTAACTTAAAAAAATTCGAATAACGATAATATATGTTTTAAACTATTTGTTTGGACAGATCGATTTGCATTGGTTTCACGGATGGACCGAATAAGGCGGGAAAAAATGATAGATCATGGAACATGATCTCAGCCCAGGTCCCCCCCACTCCTGTGGGTACGTGACAAATTGAGATAAATAATCGTTTGTGGAGACACAATGCTCACTTGAAATTTGTCACAGCGATACTCGAAACGGCACGCTTCGGGACATTTGCGAATTGATACTCGTAAAACCAATACTCGAGTCGCATCTGGTCCGCATCCTACTCTATTCCAAGATTTTATCAATATTCACTCTCGAAGAATTGTCTGTTCGATTAATAAATTAATTCTGTTATCCACTGTGGTTTCACTGTTGCAACAAATATTGCTATTTACTTTTCTTGTATTTTTCAGATATACAACAATTTTTTAAATAAGAAATTCTCGTCCAACTGGAATCTCCTTTGTAAATTAACAATGTATTTTTTTTACTTGTTTATTTTTTCATACTTTTTATGCCACCTAGAAATACTCATACCGTTACTATTATCTGTCAGATGGGAAAAACAATTTCATTTGAACAAAAGTGAAAATGAATTGTACTCTTCCTATACATCGTGTTACATATCAGACAAACTAACCTCAATTTACCCTTTTAGATAGCCATGAAAACGTCGAAAATAAATTCACCAAGGAGCCCACTGTAGAATTCAATCACAACCACAGGATAACATCGAAATATGCAAATTGAACGTGAAAAGGGCCCTGATTCTTTCATCCTGAGCGTGTTCTCATACGTTCCACGGCTAATCCCAATTATGCGCGGGCGGACCTATCGGCGGTGTGACAATATTACTTCGCCCCAGGAGCAACTTCGATGACTAGACATTCGTTTTCCTGCCAGAGTGGCGACAAAACTTTGCCAGTTTGCCAGGTACAACCCTAGCGAACCAGCATTGTGATCGTATTAACACCTTGCATAATTGCATTGCCACCAACGCCGCCGCGTTTCTCATTGTGTGTCCGTTAAACACGTCTCATTTGAATATTGGCCCATTCAACACACTGTCTGGCTCTCTTTCTCGGTCTATGAAGCCCGATCGCTGATAAAGGGGATCCTATGCACCGTGGTGGATCTCTCTGTACTCTTTCTCAGGCTGTCAGCTTCCTTCGACTATGCACGATTTAAGCTAGATAACATGAATTTGATATTAATACGCCGGACAGGATAATTGGTGGTACAGTTCTATGAGATAAGTGGTTTGGATGAGATATAGATAATATTTGGATTGCTTCTTAAGGTAGTTTGCGAAATACTGGTTTCATTTTTTGTATATGTATCATTTTTAAGTATTTTAGTTTGTTGCTTAATTTGAGAGACAGTGTGAATTAGGTTTGAAGTGGTTCAGTATTCAGACAATAGGTAGAATATTGTTTTTAAAAATGTTGCTGTTAATTCTCAATGACATTTTTTTGTTTGGTATTTTAAAACACTGGAAACATGAGTATGAATACTAAATTAATTTTTAACGCTGTAGGATATAATATTTGAATATTTAGGTTTGGTGAATCATTTGTGAAAGACTGTGAACATTCAGTTAGTATTGAAAGAATAGTCAAAACTTTCAACAATAAATCTCTTATTCCCTACAATAAAATTTCCAATACCTCAATATCTAAACAACAACTTCAGCCTCTTTCTGAGTATTATTAACTTAACTCCTCAACAATATTTTTGCATTTCCCCAGAATCAGCCAAGAAAGTTCCCGAAAACCAACAAACAAACTATTCACGACCTAAGAAACACGGAATAATAATCTCCATGTAAACTAGTATCGTCTAAAGTCGTTTTAACCTCTCAACACCCGACTAATCCAGCAAAAAATCCACAGTAGCCGTAAAAACCGTTCTGTATCCTAAAATAATTCCGTGGAAATTTTTAAATTTAAGAAGAGTTCCTGCCGGTCTCCTGTTGGTCGACCTGTCGCCAAATTAGAGGCGTCCACCCCCACCTATCGAGCAGTTCCACCGTTGCAGGTAGCGGGAGGGTGGAAAACGATAGAAATAAAATTTCAGCCAGGCAGTAACAATAAACCGCAGCGCTCTTGGGGCAATAGTAGTGGCGCCGGAAGAGTCTGAGGGTCGGTTTCATCCTGGAACGTTTGTGATTGGTCGAGATACCCGCCCAGGGGTTGCATCGATCATCCCCTTGGAGCTTCGGAAATCTCTGGTATATAAAGCAGCCTCCCCAGGGACGGTGACGATAGTTTAACTCCTTGCTGCCTCGTGCACCCTCGTGAAGTGACTCTGAAGAGGCTGGAAAGTTGCCTCTGATAGGATTAATTAAATTACACTAGAGTTACAGGGAGGTAGAGTCGTTCCTCACAAGTGATTTTTCGGGGAGGGACTTTTAAGGAGTCTCTGAGGGATTAAATACTTAATAGACTGACTAAACGGTTGCAAGTGAAGTGATTAATGAGCTGGTGAAGAGAAGAGGGAGCCATGGCTAGCCATTCTACCTATGAGTATGAGGATAGGGGTCAGAGGATGCGACATAGGGTTGGTACCACTTCTAGGCCTGCTGATTCCACCGTAGCCTGCACCAGGTGAGGCTTCTAATGAAGAACTGGGGCTGTGCTGAGGCTCTACTGTGATTAGATTCTAAATTGTTTGTAAAGAATGGTCCATTGTTGGTGTTTGCCCATGGTACCCCTTTAAAACTTAATTTCTAGATCTGTAAATTAATATTGAGGATTATAGGGAAATTATCATTTATTGTAATTAGTAGGAATATTAGTAAAAACGAAAATTGAGGATCTGAGATTTTTGGTGACATAGAGGTGATTTTGATTCCAGTGGCCAGTATTATGTGGGCCCAAGCAGCGACATTAGTGAGGAAGACCTTGCAGACCTGCCTTCCTGCGTTTACGCGGGCAGATCCACCCAACACGTCGCTCACACCTCCTCACACACTCATTCTCCTCTCCATTACCACATGCCTGTTTCTACACCTGGTAATCACAGTAAAAATTTTACAAATACTACTTTAAAATTTAAATATCTAAAATATAATGTAAAATATTTGTCATAAAAATAGTTCAGAGTTGATGAAAATCTGAATTTCAAGTTAGAACACAGATTTGTTCGTTTCTTTGATATAGGTTAGGTTTTAGATATAAACTTATTGAACAAATTAAATTTGTTGCATTTCTTCATATTTTAGATCATAATGATACAGAGATAAATGGTGTAGAAGAGGGCTACTATCCAAATGGCAGTCCCTACAGAATCCAGCGGCACGCCGCCAACATTCGCGAAAGAAAACGCATGCTGAGGTGAGAAATTATTCCCAATGAAGCCATCTTCACCCTGAAGAAACCAATAATGACAAGTACTGAACCATTAGAATCATTCACTTTCATCTAACCTCTTCGTCTAACCTCTTTGTTGAATTAAAAAACAGAAATTTCTATTTTATTTATTATATTTACGACAATGAACCAATTATGCAAAAGGATTCAGTGAACGGTCAAGCAGGTTGTCAGTGTGATTGCGATTTTTAGCAGCATCAACTCGGCTTTCGACGAGCTACGAGTTCACGTACCAACGTTTCCGTATGAAAAGAGGCTATCGAAGATTGACACTTTGCGCCTGGCTATAGCGTACATTGCTCTACTTCGAGAAGTGTTGGCCGCCAGGCTCGATCCACTCACTTACGTCGAGAGGTGCCTTAGGGGGGAAATAAACGGTGAACGTGCGGAATGGAACACCAGTGGTGAGAATGTTTAGCGAAAAGTACAAACAAACTTCACTTTGATAAGAAAAAAAAATAAGTGTTACAATTATAAAATTAAAAGTAGACTATTATACCTTCGTGATTTCATCTATTTACTTTCGCGCTCCATCGCCAGCTTTATTATATTCTATTCAGTATACCACATTGTCAATATAACCTCAAAAATTTTATTTTATATTTTTTATCCATCGTATTAAATATTCCAAAAACGTAGAAAATTACCTGTTGAAAATAATGAAGTATTTTATTTATAGATCTGACTGCACGTTTGTCATGGATAAATTGGGAGAATCTAGGCGTGAATCCTAATCGACGATCGGTTCTAACCACACTCGCCCTGACGACGGACAATATGAATTAAAAAATGAAAAAAACGTAAAGGATAACCGCAGACGAATTCTCCTTTTCTTTGTAAATAAAACCCAGTCGAATAGAGAGTGCCAAAGGACGTTATACATAAATGTGTATATTATTTCAGTTCTAGTCTGGACGTGCAATACGAGCGATGATATTATATTTCGTATTTCTACGTACAAATATAACGATGATATATATTATACGGACACGCGTGTACATGTAAAGTGGGAATAGCTATTCTAGTTTTAGTATTTTGTTTGGAATAAAATCAACGCTCGTGAGGAGCTACGACGATCTTGTGTTTCATTGGAATACCTCTTTACTTTACCTGTAACCTAATATTTGATTATGATTTATGAGATTCTGATAGTAATAAAAAAAATTTCAACTAAGATTGAAAATTAGTTATTTTCTAATTTTGAAAATATTACAGATTAAAATTTTAAGAATTTTTGCAATATTTATACATTTCAATGAAAATTAATATTATACAATTAATTAGCGATATGTGGTTAGGAGTAAAAAATTGCAATGTCAAAATGACGGTAAAAATTGTACCAACGGTCGATCTAAAACAACTTTTTATTTCTCATTATTGTAACTTTCTATAATTTTCATGGGATTATAATAATAGATATAATTGTATTCTATACGATAATTATTAAAATAGTTAAAATTATCAATGTATCGTTCAAAAGTTAATTGTAATAATTTTATGTAAATTATCGAATGAAATTACCGATCGTATGTAATTATCAGGTAACGTGTCAACTTACGTTATCATCGACCACAAATCGTGGTTACCAGATGACACTATTGTTCCTTTTATTCGGTTAGGGAAAACAAAAGACAGAACAGGTGCCGCCGGCGAGTTTATCGGTTATGTTTCTATCTATCATTCGTAATGTGACATGGACAGTTTCGTTTTATTGGCAAGTGTTTTCCAAGAAACCATAACATTTAACTTTCCACACTAAAATTCCTTTAAACTTCTCCACGATATAACGATAATTAATATCTTCAAATATTTATATTTAAAAAGAAGTGTTTAATTTATTCGTGAATCTTCAGTGGCGAGATCACTGAATCATCAATATAGTTTAACAAGGGCAGAAAAAATTAACATGTTAAGTGTATAAAGTGTTAGAATAATCGAATAAATAGAAATGTTGAAAAGGATGGTATTGAAACAAAGAAGGTTGCCCGACAATAAAGAGGATGACGACGTGAGTGTGATTGCTGTAATAGGAAAAGAAAACGATCAATCCACGATGCAGCAGCCAGATGAAAAATTGGATGAGAAACAAGAGAGGTGGCAAGTGTTCGAGTTGAGTGACGAACGATCCAAAATGGCCCTACGGAGGCAGCTTGATCTTGAGGCGTTATCGACCGAGCAGGATAAAGTGGCAGATGATTACGAAGAAATGGATATTTTGCAGAAGATTCCTCCTGGGACTATCATAATTAAACAGGAGAGAAAATACAAAGGCGACAGTGATTATGTAAGGGATTCGACGGAGACGAGCAGTGGTGGATCAACTTCTGGTGGCGGGGCTATTAAAGTCAGAAAAATTCATAGAGTTACGAGAAAGAAGTAGGTATTTGAAAAATATGGAAATAAAAATTTCGATTCTTTATATATTTTAAAGGATTTATTGAGAAGGCAGAGTATAAATTGTGCAATATAGGAAATTTGTAATTTTCAAAATATTGAAATTAAAACTTTTAAACATTCAAATTTTTAAATGGTATAATTTTTGAATATTGCAGTTTTTTAATATTCCAATTTTGAAATTCTCAAATATTCAAACTATTGAATATTCAAATTTTTAAATTTAAAAAATTTTTTATATTTCCAAAAAATTTATTGCAGTCGTGGTCCGACGGAAATCAGACGAAACCCCATACGCGTAACGAAGAAGGATTCTGACAAAGATTTCCCCCGACCAAGACAACGTTTACTCTCCACAAAACAAAAGGAAATGCTCCCTTATTCCGAACTCAGTAAACGCGGAAAATCGTCCACAATGCCGTACATGAACACGAGATCCGTTACCAGAAAAATGTACAACGTGGGAGCGACTTATCAAGCACCTACGATAAAGGATGAAACAGAGTGGAAGGAATGGCCTGTTCATGGAATGCACGAGAGACCAGTGTTCCATCCTCTGGGTCTGGCTGCAGAATATTTGGGTCGTTATTTTGCAAGTTTGGATGGCTTCTCTTACCAAGAAATAGTCGATCGACCGGACATAGAAGTGGTATCTGTGGACCCACACTGTGATTTCCTACCTTCATCCACAGAAAAAAAACGAATCAAGAAAACCAAGCCCAACAAAGGCTCTTCTAATTCTAAAAATGTTGAAACAACTTCTGTAGAGTCATCTGAGAAGAATAAGTCATTTGAAAGTTGCATGCATGAAAGTTTCCATTATGTACTTGGCTACTGCTCCCAACTAATGACTCCTACATACAAAACCAACGTGGAAGGCAAGATCAGCATACTGAATAATAATATTTCCAAAGAAACAGACAAACAACCTTCAATAATAAGTATCATGGAACAGAATTCCAAAAGTGAATCATCTGTTAATTTTAAGGAGAATTTACAGAAACCAATGGAAGAGAACAAGTTTCTGAACAATTATACAGTGGCCATGTTACCTCAGAATATTAAGAACTTCA